ATGAGTTACTTCAACGTCACCTCCAGAGTATAGAAGCAGCAAATTTTTCGACCGCATGGAATTTTGCCAAGAGCCAAACCCCTAAGGCGGAGAAGCCATTCCATATGATGATTACTGATTCGCAATTAGAGGATGAGATGGTGGGTAGGTAGCACTTTGTTTTTTAGGTATGCACATTGTAGTTGACTTCTTTATGTTTCCTCTTCGTTTTCTGATGTTCTGTGGAACTCTTCAGCGGGACAGAGTGTAGCGAATATTTGTAAATTTTAACCAGTGCTACGTATACCTTTTGATGAATAATATGAGTACTAAAGAATGCTTCCTATATGACTATTATTTATTTATGCCATCATATTTACTTTTGGAGTTTAAGATGTTGAACGTACAGCTGAATTAATGGTGACAGTCGTGTGAAACAGTTCTGCCTCATGACCTCAGCACGATGTTGTTTGACCGAGCGCTTGTGTCCATCGCTGCATGTAGCACGGTGGTTGTGCTGTTTTCTGCTTACTGTTTACGATTTAAACCACACATTGTCTACTTAACGCTTATCGCTACCATTTTTGCGGCTTTCTGGATATTTGGACTGGTTATTGGCGAACAGCTGATTGCAGTACCATTCATACTCTACAAAAGGCTTTTCGATGGGTCTGAAAAAAGGTTTCTTTTGCTTGTTTTGCTTGTTTTTAATGTTTTTTTCTTGAAAGCATAGACGGATTTCTTTCTGAACAGCATATGTTATTGTTTTATGAGAATTAATAATTGTAAATAATTTTTTCGGGTTTGTCTTCTGCTGTTCTGGAATATCTGCGTCATCTCGTCTCTGGCATTTTGCAATTTGATCAGCATCACGAAACGAAGCTCTACTATACATCGGAAGTTCTTTCATGTGACGGTATCGCTTATTTGTATCACTGGGCTCTGGTATGATGTGGAATTGCTGTGGCTCTCTGCCGCGTTAGCACTTTGCATCTTTATTATCTTAGAGGTTTTTACGCATTTTTTTTTACTTTAAGAACTGAGTTCATTTTCTCCTTTGAGAATTGCAGTTTTAACCTTTTTGTTGCTAAGTCGTTTTCGTTATCTTCTGGGTTATCCCAGCATAGTTTACAAGCTCTGAACAAGAACCAGTGAATTTGAAAGTACTTCTGTTGGTTCTTGCCCAAACACTTCTAATAGTTTATCTGAAGTACTCATTTAACAGGGTTTACGGGCTTTAAGGATCCCTCCGATGGCAGAATATATAGACGCAGGTTTTTCTCCGTTCCTTGACGAGCAAGATTCTCAGCATTTGGTACTAACTCCCATATACCTCCTTCTAGGAGTATTTTTACCTGTTTTTCTTAAGCCGATTAAAAATACAGGTCCATATTTTAAATACTGTAGAATTTATTTAGTTGTAAAATGAGTTAACAAAACTTTTCTTTCTTATTTCTCTTCTTTTCATTAGACGAAGTTTTTAGAACAACGTCAGATCTGTCATTATGCCGGAGTATTAACGGTTGGCATTGGCGATAGTTTCGCAGCAGTGGTAGGCTCAACTTTTGGCACGCATTACTGGAAAGGATCTCGTAAAAGCTACGAAGGAAGCTTGGCAATGGTTCTTTCTCAAATAGCTTTTGCAGTCATTATAACTCTAACTGAGTACGGATGTGTTCTCACTTTTGCCGGAATTCTTAGGATTTTAGTTTCTTCACTTCTTTGTTCCTATGCCGAAGCTAAACTTAAAGGAACGGATAATATTGTATTGCCTTTCCTTGCTTATATTCTTTTGTAGTGTCAGTTGTACGTAAATTGGAACTCTCGCAGTTTGTAAGTCTTCGTTAAGCAAGAGAAACGAGGATTTAAATCTTTATTCAAAAATAGAATTTACAGGAAGACTGGAAATAACCATTCTGGACCTACTGTTTTTCTGGGAGGTAATGTTAAGGGGTTTTAATGTTTACAACCTTTTACATAGCCTTCGTGAAGTTTCCTATGACTCTGTTCATTTCAAAAGAGAATAGCACTTGAAAAGTGGCGTGTGATGCACGGTACTTGTAATTAACTTTTAATGATTGTAAGGAAACTGCTTCACCTGAGAGTTACTAACTCCCGCCTTCCCGAAGAATAAAAGAATTCATGGGTTTAAAAGTCCCCATCTGCTTATAATACGGGATGTAGTTTTTGAAAGACATACCAATAATATGAATAAATTAGTAGAACATTAAACAAGCTACAGTTATAACTCTAAACTTGTTGCAACACTAGTCGAAAATTACGACTTCTCAAAGCACTAAAATAGCAATGATAACAAGGTCAAGCAAGTTATAACCTGCTTCCGCTTTCTACTAATTTTAGTGTGAGTCTCAAGAAAGGCCCTCTACGGAAGCGACATGATTATTCTGTCGCATTATGACAAACTTTGAAACTACCTCAAATACAATAGCGATATGGATATAAATTATTACAGCGATAATTGAAGTTTTGCTACGATGATTTGGTGTGCAGTAAGAACTAGCGAACGGTTCAAAGCGTTTCCTGTTAAAAAAATTATCACTTTAAGTGCTCAAATAAATTGAAGGATATTTTAAGTGAAGGCTTTATCTCGCAGAACACTAATAGACCACCACAGCACTTTTTGGATAAAGCCAGCTAGCCGGTTATTTAAAGGGTCCCATCTAAAACCTATTCTTTGCGCGTAATAGGAAAGTCCACTTCCTTTGAAGTAAACGGAAATCGAAGGCCCATGCCTTAAACAAAAGATTTTTTAAGAATCAAAGGGGTAAAAAAGTACTGAGTCCGATCAAGGACTGCATGCACCATTCTTAATAGTTCTTGCATCTAACTGGGGCACCAGTAGCTCACCATTGGAAATGATTTTTTAATCGAAAAATCCTCCTCTAATCCAGAACTAAGAAAGATTTTTAAGCAAAATAAACATCTTTCATAAACTACTTTACGAACTACAAATCGCAGGTAAAAGCACTTTTTTGTAATTATTCCAAAAATAAAACTACTCAATTTTTCTACAAAAGTATAAAACGAATTATCTTTGAGATGAAAAAGGAAATAAAAATGAGGCTTTAAAAATCATAGATAACTGAAACAAATGGATACCGTATTTTTGTCGATAAAATACTTTATTATTGTAATCATCTCGATAACTGGCAAACTCTTCCTTACTCATTGTGAATACTTTATAGAACCAAGTAAAAAGCGGGGCGAAAAACGCTATGGAGCAAAGCCCAAGGCTAGCGTGAATAAGTATGCGGGGGTGACGAAGGATTATGCGTCTAAAATACGACTAAAACAATAGCATATCAAGCAAGAAATATTAGACCATATTTTAATAACACAAGTAGAATTTAAACAAATGTTTATTCACTAAATACTTTAAAAGAAACTCTAAACATTACATCCGTCAAAGAAGCTGCAGTTTCACAGTTAAATACCTTTACAGAAAAAACGGTAAACAAATAACAACGGAATTTTTTCGTAAAGAACTTCTACTAGGAACTATTTTTGTCCTCTATTAAGCAGAGAAAAAAAATCCGTTGTATCTGTTCAGAACTCCACCAGTATAAACTTCTTCCGTCTCGGTGCTGCAGCACACAGCTGTTAATTCAGGCTTGCAGAACATGTCTTCTCCTTACCACTAGGCTATTATGAGAAGTACACAAAAAGTCTACTGTTTCAAACAATGACCAAAAAGCCTGATGGAACATGCAAGAACTTGTTCACCTGAACATTCTACCAACAAATCCGGCTGAATTCTTGTAGTACGATGCTCTCCATCTCCTTTGACTGCTAATAAAAGACCCAGAACCTCCGAAGTAAGAGGGTCTGCCGCCCCATTGACGTAATTCCAACATCCCTCAAAGATAGAGACAAGAACTTTTGCCAATATCCAGTGCCAAAAAAGCACTATAAACTTCAAGCTGTTATTACTTAATCCTAAAAGATACAGTCCATCATCAGCTTGAACCAGAATAAAAAATTCTCCTACAACAGAATTAACCATTCTTGTTGCAACTTCCATTCCTTTTGAAAAAAACTGAAATATTCCTTTACGTACTAAAGTTCAAAAACTTCCACGAATACCATAAAAATTCAAATTGTGCACCTCAAGTTAAGATGGAGACTAACTGCAGTTTCTTGCCAGACAAGAAGGCTTTGCTATAATTTATAGCCAAGAAACGTCCATGCTTGGCTTCTGGAAACAAACGAATAGAAAAGACTGACAAATTTTGATCTCTAGCCTGATAACTCTCGTACGTAAAGGGAAGTCCTGATATAGAACAGGGTGTGATGTAGCAAGACAGTATAATCAGCTTTTTTAATCGTCTTCAAACACTACTATGTAAAAACAACAACAGACACTGTTACAAATAAATGGGTGAACATAAACAAGAATACCAATAACCAAATTCCTACGAGCACTGCTCACAAATATGTTGGCACCGA